CAAGTTGCAGCAAGACTAGGCATGTTCTCTCTATTAAGGCTGAATGGGTCAACCCAGCAGGAGGAAAGGGTCTTAAGAGCAAGCAAAACAGAATCAGAGACATTTCCTCTGCCAGGAGTCCCACAAGAAGACAGTGTTGGGGCTGGAGAGATGGCTCAAAGGTTAAGAGCACTGACTGCTCTGGAAGTAAAAACAAAAACAAACAAACAATGTAAAAGAATACCTTGCTTCAGCGGAGACCTCATTCCATCAGTTGCAGGCTTCTGTTCCACATAAATGCTGCCTGGATGCTAAGTCTATTTCCTGTCTTTGTTTGCTTTGCACCTTTCTTCAGTCATTCCATGCAAGGGAAGCTTCTGAAATTGATTTATGTAATCCATAATCTATGTTTAAATTCCCACAATTGGATTAGGTAACTCTTTTCCACTCTGTCCTGCTTTTAAATATTTCCAAATCTGAAGAGTTTTCAATTCGGGCTGTGACAGGTCCTGGTAATATGGCTTGTTTGATATTCTAATGAAATTCTAAATTCCATAACACATTTCTGCCCTTTTCTCTGAAGTTCAGGAAAAATTCCCCTTATGCCCCTGACTCTGGCATAGGCTTTGAATTTACAGTTTATAGATCTGACTTTATATCTAGTGGGTTTACAGAATGCTTCAAATTTTCCTGAACAACAACAACAAAAATCTTGAAGAAAGGGCAGTTCATTTAGGAAATCTGATACAGCTCCCAGAACATGCTAGTGAGAGACCCAAAGGGTGCAATGTTGTAAGGCCTCTGGATATCAGTTAAACAAGCAGACTGGGGCCAGACAGAGATGGCTCAGTGGTTAAGAGCGCTTGCTGCTCTTGCAGAGGACCTGAGTTCAATCCCAGCACTCATGTCTAGCAACTCATAACTCTAGCTCCAGGTGACCAAATGCTCTCTTCTAGACTCTCTCTCTCTCTCTCTCTCTCTCTCTTTCTCACACACACACACACACACACACACACACACACACACACACACACACACACGTAAAAAAAGTCTTCAAAACAAAATACAAGCAGCTGTAGATACTGCAGGTTAATTTCCCAGCACCGTGGTGTTCGACAGTGTTGCACTCTGACACACATGAGTACTCCTTATACCAAAATCTAATCCAAGACCCAACAGCAGACTTCTGGCTGAGGCTCTGGTTACTTGAAGCAAACAGCTCAATATGATGGTCAGGCACAAAGACATCCTTTGTTTGCAAATTCCAGAATAGCAAAATATCATTAGCAGTAGGGGGGAAGAGGGCCAGCCCGAACCCGAGGAACCAGGAGTGCCTGAACAAAGCATGAGCCAGCAGGTATCTGGAGCTGGAGTGAAGACCTTTTGGTGGGGAGAGGTCATGGTGGGTCCTAGACATGGTCTCAGTGTTACCTCTAGAATTGCCTAAGGGTGGCACAGCTGTGACCCAGAGGTTGAGATGAAAAGAACTGGTGATTCAATGGCCTAGACAGTAAGAGAAATCCTGTCATCCCAAACTGTTCCTAGGACAAAAGAAATCATGATTATCACTGTGAACTCAGAGTGATCCTGCTCAGGGTGGGAGGTCATTCTGTGGGGCAGCAGGCAGTGTTGTCTGCAGAGTGTGGGTGCTCATAATGATTGGTTCTCAGAGTGAGGTTTCTAGGGTGACTCTGACTTGATTGGTTGGCTCCCAAGTGAGGGCTGATGATGACTGGCTTGTGTACAGCATGTGCTCTGGGAACTGCATTGTCCTTGATCAGAGGAAGAGGTGTAGACAACCAGCCACCTCCTTGTTACCATAGCTACAGAGCAAGCAATCTGTCCCTGAGTCACCACCATGCAGAGCCTTCTTCTGATCTGTTTCTTGAGTGTTCTGGCAGGTCCAGGTGACCTTTCCTTTTTTTTTTTTTTTTTTTTTTTTTGGTTTTTTTTTTTTTTGGTTTTTCCAGACAGAATTTCTCTGTAGCTTTGGAGGCTGTCCTGGAACTCACTCTGTAGACCAGGCCCAGGTGACCTGTCTTACAAATCAACTGAACCCACATTTCAGAGCTGAGAGTCTCTGTCCCCAATTTCAGCAACACAAAAGCCATGGAAGGAGCATGCTAGATTTGTAGTAAAACCATAAACAATTATTTAGCATAGCAATATTTAAAAAAAAACAAAAAACAAAAACAAAAAACAAGTGGTGCCTGTCTCCAAACAACTCAGTTATTGAAAGACAAAAGGCTGGCAAAGCTGGGAACTTTCTGTGAGTCTGAAAATTGTGAAACATCTGTTGTAAGTGCGTGTCAGAGTTGACAGAAGTTCTAGCTTGGTCTGACTGCTTGCTCTGTGTTAGCCTTATCCTCTCTTCCTGAGATCTGCTAATTAGTGCTTAAACTCTTATGGTAATCTGTTACTCTACAGACTCAGTTAAGTGCTTCATTGTAGTCATTGATAGCAGAGAGCAGAAAGATGAGGTCTGGAAGGCAGGGTGAGCACACAAACCTGAAAGCAAGAGAAAGTAGAAGCCTTTCAAACAGCCGGGATCTCCTACCAATGGACCCACAGCCCATGGACAGTGATTCCAATCACTGAGTTCTTGTGGGAGTGGGGCGGGCTGGTGTTGGACACAGCACCAGAACACGGTCTTGGAGAAGGATGCATGTTTCACATGAAGTGTGCTCTGGTTAGTTGATATAACCTGGGGTAACCTGGAGTGACCTAAGAAACTGCCCAATTCAGGTTGGTCTGTGGTCGTGTCTGTGAGGGACTGTCTTGACTGATGAATGACATGGGAGAATCCAGCCGTTGAGGGCAACAGCATGCCTAGGTAGCTGAGCATGGGGCTGTGTGAGAAGCTATCGGAGCATGGGCCCTCGAGGCAGCCATCGGTACTCCTCTGTGGTTTCTGCTTTGGCTCCTGCTTAGGTTCCTGCCTTGATTTCCTCACTGATGAAGAGTGAGTGACCTGGAAGTGTAAACTAAAATAAACCCTTTCTTTCCCAGGTTGCTTTTAGTCATGGTATTTATCACAGCAACAGAAGGAAAACAGGATGGGGGGCACGAGGATGCTTTTCTGAGAAATACGGAGCTCTGGTACTAAATTCTGAAGAATTCCTGATGCAAAGACACATCCCAGTGTTCCCAGGCCTCCAGCACCCTTATCTTCAGTATCCTCACTGTTGCTATTGTCTTCATGTTGCCAGCATTCTTACTGTCACCAGCAATGCCCAGCTTGGCCCATGAAAGAAATGCCAGGAGTGATGAAGACTTCCAGAGGGAGGAAGAGTCAGAGGGCAGGACTTCCTGGGAGTCTTGGGGCAGCTTGTTCTATCCTTCTATTTGTGTAGTCTCTGGTGATAGAACTTAGGTTGTCAGGCTTGTTGGAAAGCTCCTTTTCCCACTGAGCTGCCTCACCTGCTGTCTTAACCAGGGTTTCTGTTGCTGCAAAGAGGCACCGTGACCATAGTGATTCTCATAAAGGAAAACACTGAATTGGGTAGCTTACGGTTTCAGAGGTTTAGTCCATTATCATCATGGCAGGACGTGGCAGTATGCTGGCAGGCATGGTGCTGGAGAAGGAACTGAGAGTCAAGAAGGAGCTACATCTTGATCCCATAGGCAACAGGAAATGGTCTGAGTGTCACACTGAGTGAAGCTTGAGCAAAGAAGACTTCAAAGCCCATCCCACAGTGGGTCCTCACTGATGGTGATGGCTCCCTGTTAGTAAGCCACAGCCAGCCAGCCAGCCGCCAGATGACAAAGGAAAATCACTGACCTCCACAGGGTGCTATATAGCTGGCTGAGTTAGGCTACCTGGTATGAGATGTACGGTAAACGAATTTTCAGTCTTCACTATTTTGTTTATGATGAGTTCACTGTGATATATATATATATATATATTAATAACTTCTTTTTGCTGGGATAAAATACCATTCAGAAGCAACTCCAGGGCGAAAGGCTTTGCGTTGGCTCATAGTTTGGGGGTGCAATTTATCACAGCAGGGAGGTCATGATGGCAGGAGCCCAAGGTAGCTAGCTACTCACACTGCCTGCAGCTTGGAAGCAGAAGGAGGCCAATGTGGAACTCCACTCACTCTCTCTTTTTATTCAGTCTGGGACCCCCAGACTATGGGATGGTGCCGCCCACATTTAGGGTGTGTCTTTCCCTCACTGACAAGCCTAGAAGTTAGCCTCCCAGGTGATTTGGATTCCACCCAGTTTGCAATCAGTAATCCACCATCCTGTCTTCTGTGTCTGCCACCAAATCCACACGCCTCATGTTCTAGTTTCAGTTACGTTGCTGTGGTAAAACACTCTGACCAAAAGCAGCTTGGGAGAGGGGAGTGCTTATTTTAGCCTATAATGCCCGACCACAGCCCACCATGCAGGGAAATCAAGGCAGGAACTTGAAGGCAGGCCTGCTTCCTATGCCACATAGCATTACCTCTGACTGAGGAGCCCACGTCATAGCCAAAGGACAGCAGGAACTTGGGGGATGCTTCTGGCTGGCTGGCAGGCTTGCACGATGGCTGAGACCAGTGGTTCTCAACCTTCCTGATGCCGTGCCCTTGAATACAGCTTCTCATGTCGTAGTGACCCCCAACTGATCCCAACCATAAAATTCTTTTCATTGCTACCTCATAACTATGATTTTACTACCGTTATGAATCATAATGTGAATATTTTTGGAGATGAGAGGTTTGCCAAAGGGGTCACTACCCACAGGTTGAGAACTGCTGGCTTAAACTCAGCTAGTTTTCTCATACCGTTCAGGATGACTTGCCTAGGGGTGACACTGCCCATAGTGGACCGGGCAGACACACCCACACACACCTTGGCCCTGCCATTACACTGCTATTCCCTCTAGTTTATGGGATTCCCTACCTACACTCCAACACATCCTTTTTGGAGTGTCTTGTGGGGTTCAGGCCCATCCATGCCTAGATTGAGCATGACCACTGCCTGGCAGGTGTGAGGAAGTTGTTCCTTACAAAGCATCTGTTTGTATCTTGCAGGTGAAGAATGCTACACAAGAGCCCCAGATGGTGTTCACTGTCCGCCATGCCACCGTTACCTTCCAGACTGAAGGGGATACGTGGCGGGAGCAGAAGGAGCAGCGTGCAGCCCTCATGGTGGGCATCCTTATCGGGGTGTTTGTCCTCTGCTGGTTTCCTTTCTTTGTCACAGAGCTCATCAGTCCCCTGTGCTCCTGGGACATCCCTGCCATCTGGAAGAGCATCTTCCTGTGGCTGGGATATTCCAACTCCTTCTTCAACCCTCTCATCTACACAGCTTTCAACAGGAGCTACAGCAGTGCTTTCAAGGTCTTCTTCTCGAAGCAACAGTGAGGGGCTGTTGGGGTTGCCTTCTTCCCATAGCTCAGTGGACTATCCTGTCCCATGAACTCTGCAGCCAGCCCAGCAGTCCTGAGGACAAGATCCATCTGCCAAGGGCACCAGGGTCACATCAGAGCTCAGCTCACTTCATGTCTGTGCTCGTGTGTTGGGAGTTGTCTTCCCCTGAAGGCTCTGGTGGCTTATCTCCCCAATCTGGGTACTCTTCCTTACTCTGTACCAGCAGCCACGGACCTGGACCACAAAGTGCCCAATCCTCCTCTAAATCCACTCCAGCATGGTCATGAGAAAAGCTGACCAAAGCAGACAGGAAGGAGAGAGTGAGTGAAATAGCTCAGGTTCTAGAGAGAGGCAGAAAGAATGACAAGGCCTAAAGCTGTCGGCGATCACACACACACACACACACACACACACACACACACACACACACCTGTGAATTCAGCACTTAGGAGACTAAGGCAGGAGGATCTCAAATTTGCTACATAATAGGTTCAAAACCAGCTTGGGCTATCTAGTGACAACAACAAAATGCCCTGGTGAGGCTGTTTGCACAGCAGCAGGCCATTAGGCCAAACTTCCCAGGATAGCTAGTCCATATTTCAGAGCTCTGCTCTGTGGTCCTAGGGTGTATGTCCTAGAACTTATTGAGTCCTTCCTAATATCTGACCACAAAATTCTGTCCCCAAACATATTAAAGCACAATCTCACTTGTGAGGACAGTGATTGCTGTCTTTACTGTTTTGTTCACGGTAAACACACACACACACACACACACACACACACACACACACACACACTGCAGAAAAGGACAGTTTCCAGCTAAAATCAACTCAGTCCATCAGCTTGGAACTAGAAAAATGAAATATTTCCTTCCATTTTGAAACAAGTGTTCACAAAAAATAGAAAAATCTACTAATTTCACAGAATTTGTCAAAATTATTTGCTATGGTTTTTCTTTGTGTAATTCCTTCTGTTTCTGGCCTTAGTGTTTCAACCCTAGATAATAAGATTTCCAGGTTAATAATGGCTATGAACTGTTGAGTTTTCAATAGTTTCACAGTTGGTGACCACAAGGCTCTATCCATCAGACACACATAGTAATAGGCGTGCTGGCCACTTTGTAGTTGTGGATTTGTTGCTTTATGAACCTGATCAGTAGGCTATAAGATTGGCAGACAAGGATCAAATATGGCCTCTATCAAATTGGCAGTGTAACTGGTTCTTCTAGACAGTCTGATCAAGGCAGTGTTTACATGGTCACAGAAAACTTTGGGCGCACCCATACCTCCAAAGGCAGGCCGAGGGAGCTTTGAGAGCATTATCAAAAAAGCTAGTGATAAAGAAGAGATTGCCACTTTTCCAGAACCCTTGAATGCTGACTTCTCCCACAAACTGATGGAGCCATCAGAGCCCACAGAGCTGTGGACCCCTCTCAGCTGGCTGGATGGTGATGCTTTTGCATAGGGTTGGTGTTTCTTCAGTTGACTGGAAATGCAACAACTTCATCCCCAAGGGTTTGGAAGTTTTTGTTTGTTTGGTTTTGGTTTTTCAAGACAGGGTTTCTCTGTGTAACAGCTCTGGCTGTCCTGGAACTCACTTGGTGGATCTGGCTAGCCTGAAACTTGGAGAAATTCGATTACCTCTGCCTCCTGAGTGCCGGGATTAAAGGAGTGTGCCACCACCACCTGGCTAAGAGTTTTAAAGTATCTATTTATATTTAAGACAGGGTCTCACTAAGCAGCCTTGGCTGTCCTGGAACCTACTGTGTAGACCAGACCGATCTTAAACTCACAGATATCTGCTTTCTGCCTCTCCAGTGCTGGGATAAAGGATAAAGGGTACATACTACCATACCTGGACCAAGAGTTTTTTAAGTAAAAAATTTTCCAATACTCTGGGGCCCTTTTTCTGGAAGCAGTGGCCTGGACCAGTCACACATCTTACACTAAGGGACTGGGTCTAAGCCAGGCTGGAGCTTGAACAGAATGGCTCACACATCCATGACTGTTCTCATAACCAGGGGTTGTTAATTGCTTGAACAAGAGCTTTGTTTTTTGTTTTTGTTTTCTGGCTTTGGTCACAACTAACAGGATACAAGAAGTTTTATTTTGTTGTTGTTGTTGTTGCTGCTGTTATTTGTTTTTCTGAGTCTGCATCTTATGAAAATGATGCCCATAGAACGTTCTAAACTGTGCAAATTCTGCACTGTGTCCTTCACTACCCCCCTCAGCCTTCTGATCCAAGGGAAGTTATTCCCTCTCCACCCGCTGTAGCTGCATGCGTAAGGAGATCTAGTCACAAGTGAGCCTCCGTCCGTCTGTCCACCCAGCTGCATGCTGAGCACTCCCCACAGTTGCTTTATTCCACCCTTCCCGCCCCCCACACTGACTGCCACCACTTTACCATCACACAGGCAGCTTTGCCCATGCCACCTCAATTTAAGACAAACCCCTTACTCATCATTCAAAATGTCTACAAACTCTTGGGCAATAAAACTCTACTATATCCATGTCCCCGATTCCTCAAATGCACAAATTAAAACTGTCTATTATGCTGTATATAATAAATTATACTCATCAACATTCCAAAATAGAAAATTTGTGATGATTTTGACATGAAATGATCTTGAATTTCCTGCAAAGACAACCTTTACTCGGGAGTGTGAACAGATCTAGGGTGTTAGACAGCTGGCATTGTGACTGTAGACAGGTTGAATGGGACTCCTGTCTGTGCATCAAAGCAATGCAATGGAGAACTTAATTGGGATTTCCTTAATTTTTCCTTCCTTCTGTGTATCTCTGACTTGACATACTAGACCCATAGATAATTTAAAAGATAGACTTGCTTACTTCCTCATTTTCCCTGTCCCCTGGTTCCGGGTAATCACTGGGCACTATTGCTTTAGTTGTTATATTGGGGGTGTGTGTTTGTTGAGTGCCCACAAATAAAGGAATGGACACAACGTGTGGAATGCAGTGCAAACTCCACCATGTCCGTCCATCTGAAATTCCTGGTGGGATTTCTCATCCTGTCCCAAATTTCAATATTTAGCTCACTGGTTTTTCTTAAAGGTTTATTTGAGGCTGGAGAGATGGCCCAGTGGTTAAGAGCACACACGGCACTTGCAAAGGACCTGGACTCTATTTTCGGCACCCTCACCAGGTGACTCACAACCACATGTTACTCCATCTCTAGGGGTCTGATCCCTCCAGCTCAAGCAGGCACCTGTATGAATGTACACATGTGCAAACCTACACGTAGGCACACCTAATTTTAAAAAAAATAATAAATATATTTTTACCTTTATTTTTATTTTATTTGTATGCTTGTCTACTATGTGCATGCAGTGCCTGAGTAAGCCAGAAGAGGGGACCAAATCTCATGGATCTGGAGTTACAGATGGTTGTAAGTGACCATGTGGGTGCTGGGAATTGAACTCAGGTCCTCTAGAAGGAGATCCAGTGCTCTTAACCACTGGGCCATCTCTCCAGCCTCAGATACATTTTTAAATGGTTCATTTCCTTAAAACTATTTTATTAAGGCTGAGGACAAGATGCGATCAGAGTGCCCCTCACAGTCCCATGAATCTACGCACTCTAGTTAGAGGAAGATGTTAGGATCAAATTAACTGAACCTCTAACTGAGGCTATTATTAGTCTTCTCATTAGATGAACTCATACATTATCATTCAGATGTATTTAGCATCTCCCATATGACACTGAAGTCATATACACTCTGCAAATGTTACCTAGGGCACAGAACAACCAATCCACAAGGAGTGATTAGCAATTAATTATTGTGCTTTCATCTCAATGCAAAGATGTACTGACAAAAACATTACAAGGTGCAAATGTTGATTTGTGTCTCTAGTATGCAATTCAAATATTTTCGGAGTGCTTCCCATTACTCTTTTAAAATATTTTTTTGAATTGTGTGTATACATATGTGGGCTTGTGCATGTGAGTGCAAGTGCCTATAACCAGAAGCAACAGACCCCTTGAGGCTAGAGTTACAGGCAATGGTGAGCTGCCTGATGTAGGTACTGAAAACTGAACCCAGGTCCTTTGCAAGAGCAACAAGTGCTCTTGAGCACTAAGCATCTCTCTACCCCGTTCCCATTACTCTTAAATGCTAATATGTGGTCAGGTTAGTGGCACATAAAAGTCACAGCAGACGTCAATCACTAGAAACACCAGTGTCCATTCCTTGTGCCCATACTTCCAGGACCTCTTTTCTCAGACAGGCTTCAGGAGGCTCAAGATTCCCTGTAGGTCCTCTTCAGGGTGACTAGGAGCATGCTTACAGAGCCAAGAAAGACACGAGAGCTCCACTGTCCCATTACAGACAGCACACTAAGGGAATGCTCTCCTGTGATGGATGGCCTGAGTCTCTCTGGTCCATCTGAAAGCTTGTATTTTCCAGGTACAGTCTTGATGTGTGAGAAGATGCTGCTGGGTTTATTGGCATTGGGAGTTTTTGGTGGACTTCAAAAATATTTATTTTTATTTTTGTGTGTGTGTGAATGTGTGTGTGTGAGAGAGATAGAGAAAGAGTGTGTGTGTGTGAAAGAGAGAGTGTGTGAATGTGTGTGTGTGAAAGAGAGTGTGTGTGAAAGAGAGAGAGAGAGTGTGTGAGAGAGTGTGTGTGAAAGAGAGAGAGAGTGTGTATGTGTGAAAGAGAGAGTGAGAGTGTGTGTGTGTGAAAGAAAGAGAGAGTGTGTGTGTGTGTGAAAGACAGAGAGAGTGAGAGTGTGTGTGTGTGTGAAAGAGAGAGACAGTGTGTGTGTGTGAAAGAGAGAGTGAGAGTGTGTGTGTGTG